ATTATTAAATAATCGCTTGTGTTTTGGATTTTGTCTCAAACTCTCTTGATCAATATTCCGTCTCGTATTCTGGTAATTTCCTAGCTTCCAACAGTTTCAGTTCACTTTGGCTTTAGTTCAGGTTTACATGTACTGGTTTAGTCTTCTGTTTTCGCAGATCAGACAGGTTGTCTTCTCAAAGGATGGGAGTGGATTACTCTTACGGCAAAGAAATGGCGTTTTACATTAGGCCTAGTGTATACAAGTTTTGTTTGTTTTGAGTTTTCTTTTTCGTTTGTTTGTTTGTCCGTTTGTTTGTTTGTTTGTTTGTTTGTTTGTTTGTTTGTTTGCATTTTGGAGTTTGTCTTTATTTATTTGTTTTTATAGTTTATTTCGTGCTTTTTCAATCTACATCTATATTATTACATATTTTTATTCATTTGCATGCTGTTGATTTTGTTTGTTATGTTGAAGTTGTTCTCGTTGTCTTTTTTTTTGCTTCGTCTCTTATCGTTGTTATTGTTGCTGTCGTTGTTGTTGTTGTAGTCGTTATTGGTGTTACTGTTGTTGTTGTTGGAGTTGTTTTTGATGTATTTTCTAGTGCTTTGTTTGATTTTTGAGGCTGTTGTTGGGGGAGGGGATGTTGAGTGGGGGGGGGGTTGTTTGTTGTTGGGGGGGTTGTTGTTTTTGTGGAGGGGGGTTGCTGTTGTTGTTTTTGTTTATTTGGTGGTGGGGGGGTGATAGTTTTTAAAGGCATTTTTTAAAGGGGTGGAGGCCACGGACAAACACTTTCCACCTTTCCCTGTCCTGGACTAGCCAACCAATGACCGCACGGGCACGAAAAGCCCAACTAAAACTCAAAAAAAGAAAATATATTGTGCAGTACGGTACTCTAACGATATTACAATTGTTTTTCCCCTTTTCTTCAGAAATATATTGCGTCAATATAGTGGTGAATTCTAATTCTCAATAGATCTAGATATCTAGCCTATGAAGCTGAAAGAAATTACATGTATGATGAATTAAACGTTTTTGGGTTGTTCTTCTTTTAGGGAACAAACGATTGCTGTTTAAACAACATCACTTTAAAACTTTGATTTTTGTGGACGTCATGAGAAAGGTAGAAACTTTTTGTGTCTCTCATACATTACAAACCCTCATAAATACAAACCGAACTTCTGAACTTCAAAGCCCAAGTTCTGCATAATATTGCAAACAAATATGTTTTGTACTGTGTTAGTTTTACCTATACCCTTTTTCCAGCTTTATATGTAATATCTAGTATCTATGTATCTATATATCTATGTACCTATGTATCTATATATCTATGTACATGTATCTATATATCTATGTACATGTATCTATATATCTATGAACATGTATCTATATATCTATGTACCTATGTATCTATGTATCTTCATGTATCTATGTATCGATTTATCTATCTACTATCTATCTCTTCTCTCTCTCT